TACACTGCAATTCAACTGAACACATCAAGGCTGCAGCTGCTGCCAGTACACAATAATAACGACGAAGCTTCAAGTAGGCTACTGTAAGTCTTATTCTTAAGTTAGTCTATAAGTTACCAGTATTATAGTCCTTGTAAAAAAATGTTGTAGTAATGAATGACCTTCAACAGATTAACCTAAAATGAGGTGGAAGGAGCAATTTGAATTCGTCATCCTTTTCTGCACTCCTTAGCTCCTCACCATCCTACTAAGTACTAAGTACAGCGAGACCCTGAGGGCTAAGTACAACTTCTAGGTACCGTACTTACAATAGCTTAATGAGGCCATTCAAGCTCTTCCTTGATTGGTACATTTTCACCCCAAAATACCGGAGCTAAAAGCACACGGTTGTCCCATAAGCTTGTATCATCTTTATATTACTCCTTTGGAGATTAAGTTTAAGTAAGCCCTTAAAGCCCTGCCCTAGCAAAGGCAGGGAAGGTCAAAATTTGATTTGTAAATAAGTTAGTGATTGCTAGGCCCACTAGACCTTACATTAAAGATTATTATTACATTTAATAACTTAACCTGGACTACGTTTAAACATAGATTAGGAGTAAGTTAATCTAACTATCTTAGTAACAAAGATAGGCCTGTGCCCTTTCCAGAATTACAAATTCTCACCAAACATGAAATAGGTTTAAGAGTCTTGCATAATATATTCTCAAATTAATTAGATTCGATTTAATGATGCTTCGTTTTCAATCATGCGATCAAAAATTACGTTTATCTTATCAAATTTGTAGTAGGAGCCGTGCGGGCAAATGGTTGCCCTTCGCTCAAAGGTGACCCGAGAAGTCGGAATTTTCAAGATTGGGAAAAAGTGCAACTACTCATTTTATGTAAAGTAAAACCGGTTAATTATATAAATAAATAAATAAATACAGATAGTAAATTACCTGTGGAACTGCTACGGACAACTGCTTTGCCAAAGCAGAAGCCAAACGAATCGAGAGTTGAGACATTTTTCTTACGGCCTTTACACGATGAAAGAGGTGGAGAACAGACGACGAATCGGCTGATCCCAGAATGCAATGGGATGAAATGAAATCCCTTCTTTTACTCTAAAATTAGTAAATAATGATATTTTTAAGGCGAAATATTTTTTTAAATCTTTAAAAATTCGTTTTATTCTAACCATTTGCGTTTTGTTATATTATTTGAGATACTTATAAAAATTACATGGTCTCAAAAAAAGTAGACTGTGGTTTGGGTCAGAGGCTATGGAGAGCGCCAATTTCAAAAACCTAATCTATCTATCAATAATATAGGCTAGATAGATTATTGCTAAATGACCACGATTACTAGAAAAATATTTTTCTAGTAATCGTGTAAATGACCATAGATAAAACTTTGTAAACAATAAGGTTTTTTGTTTTAATTTTAAGTTAACCCCACATATTATAAACCAAAATGTTTGTCTTGGTGTGTAATTTTTGCAAACTGACCTTACATTTTTGAAAAAGTCCCTTCGCTCTGCCCCAGTGGCTTTTAAAGATCCCAGCATGTTATCCTTATAAAAAATTGACTTTGAGTTGAGTCTTTTAAAGTCATCGGAAATTATGACTGTTACTTGTTTTAAAATATCTCCTGTAATAATTTGCAATTGCTCGAATTCTAGCAACAGGGACATCATTTCATTTCATTTCACTAGTCTTAATTAATTTGAAACTAAATTAGTAAAATTATAATCAAATTTTTAAATATTAACATATATTAGATTAAAATAATACATCACTATCCTCGTTTATACTTTTAGTTTTAAAAGTTATTATAATTGTTTATTTTGTATAATATTATAACTAGTCTACCAGTATTATTTTATTTTTATAGTTTATTTTATTTTATTACTTTATTTTAATTTAAGAAATTTAGTTTAAAAATAAGTTTTTAAATCATAATTGTTATAATGTTTGTATGATACTGTAAAATAAAATTTCATAAATTTCAGGCATGGGAGTCCAATCAATATGTGTTAAGGTTAACCATGTTTTTGCAGGTTGAACATGTAAACAAATTTGTTTGCGAAGTAAATTTAGGTACAAAAATGTTTTAAATGAAACATTTTGTGGTAACTCAATAACTCAAAGAGACCTTTAATAATCAAACTTGAGAGCTTTGGTATTTAATTTAATCAAAGAGACATAATATACATGCAAAGGTCACGTCAAAAGTAAAATACAATGTCATTCAGATTAAATTATTAAACTAACAAAAAATCTTAACTTTACATAACGGTCCATGGTATTACTACTCTGTACACTTAAATTTGTGCTTGGAACCCTCGGGCCCCCTTCTTTACTAGGGGGCAATTCCAATTGCATACTAACCCTGACCCCTCCAGTCTCCCTATTGAAAAAGTCAGATGGACGCCCATGTACGAGGTTATAAGTTTTGTTTTTTATGCATATCTTATTCTCAGTAAAAAAATTTAAACTTAAGAAAGTGCCACCTTCCCAGAACTTTCTTTCAAGGTGTCTTCCAAAAAATACCAACAAATATTGGGATATACGAATGATTTGACTATCAATAGAACGTTATTTATACCATCTTCCTTCGGTATCGAAAAGTCAATGGGATAAACATTCGTAGCACACAGGATCTTTCTACAGCATGAGCACTGTAGTACGTGGTGATGGGGAAAGGAAAGCAAAAGGGGACGAAAAATATAATTTGCTCTAGACACCAGCAACTGGTGCTAGACACCATTTAAGTGTACCATTGAATGCATCCTCTCTGTACAGTTGTCGCAGCTAGTCTGGGCACGCGGCCGTGCTTTGGCGGGGGGTGAAGAGGGGAGTGTTTATTGCTCATTTCCAAAAACATCTGGCCCACATGGCTCTCTGGGGTTGTTCAGTGCCTCAGCGCTGTCTTCATGGCTTTGGCGTGCGGGACGGTTAGTACACAAGGGTCCGCGCGCCCAGACTAACTGCGACTACTGTATCTTACTTCCCTGTGCCAACATCCAGCATCTTCTCAACAACCTGCAGGATTGAGGTATCGCCAAATATCCTGTCCGTAAACAAAAACCTTAAGGTATATTCCAAGTGAGCAAACTCAAGTCTTTAATGTTGGTAGGTATGCTCCTCTAGAAAGTTAAAGTCAATCTTGTAAGGCCTATCAATGAGGTACTGCTGGAGTTCATCCATGTTTTAGTGTTCCTTTTCAAGTTTTCATCATTTATTAAGTAAGAACATTGGAAGGTATATTTAATGTTTTAGTTGGAAATTCATTCAGATCAAATCACTCATGGTTTCTTTCCTTTGAAAATCATTCTGGCATTCTATTCAAAATTAGTTAAATTACCCTGAAATTTTGGGACCAACTGAACCCACCTACATAGAGGTTTTTTTCTGTTTTACTAGAGGTCGCCCCGAGGTCGAAAACTCAACAAAAATATGTATTGTGCAAACTTCTCTATTCCATCCCACGCTGTAAAAAAATCACGTGATTGGAATTCATCTCATTTGATTAATTTTTCTGTTTATATTTTGTTAATATTTCATTTTGTTTATATTTCATCACCAGTATGGCAACCCATGTTATTTTTTTTAAATTCAATTTTAATTTATACAGGGATTCTGCTCACCTACAAGGAAATTTCTTTCTATGTATGCATATTTTCTCTATGATGCACACGAGCTGAGAAAATGAGTATTTTTTCCCTGCGATGCACACGAGCCGAGAAAAATGGTTTTTCAAGAAACATACTTGCCTAAGTGTTTTGGTAAAACTATGGTGTATGATGTGATGATATAATATATTGGTTGGTCTTAACCTTAACAAACTATAGAACTCTCTGGAACGTGTACTGATTATTGGTATGTCATGTCAGTCCACCGACCTCCGTCTTTAAATTAGGCAAGATCTGTACAAAACCTACCGCTCTTATCCACAACTGTTATTTCTTGTTTGTTTTAACATATATAATATAAAAAAATCAAATTTGAGAATATCGTACAGTAAAATAGTGCTTATGAAGCCTCAACAGTAGTATAGGCAGGCTGGTCCATTATACATATCCAGCTATCTTAGGTAATGGAAACAGAAACAACTATTTTCTTCTAGCACTGAGACATCTGTTTTTTTATGCAGCGATAGAAGAAAAAAAAGTTATCAACATTTTACACCTTAAACAAAAAACATTTTCTATTTAGCCTTGTGTGTACAGCGTATAACTGGATGTAGATTGTAAATTCAAATATGGCGGATGTGAACCATTTATTGACTATAGTTCGGCTGCTTAGAAAACGACCTGCGCGCTAATGCTAAACCAATGCTGGAGGAGGTCGCTTTCTAAGCGGCCGAACTATAGTTAGCAACCTAAGAGCTTATTCCAGTGTTCCATGTAGTTTGTTGGTCTACTACAGTATTACATTTTTTCTCACTGCTAATAAGGTCTGTGGTCTCACAGTATAAGCTGCCTTTGTTAGACATTTGTAATAAACTTTGTAAAATTGAACATCAATAGGCCTCAAATTTAGGCTTTTTCCTCAACATAAAACTAAAACCTCTTGCCCCCCTGCGTTTTGGCTCACTAGACCAATTTATCAAAGCAGCTCTTAGCCCTACTTACTTACTTAATTTCCGTGTCCGGAAATCGGACTTCGCTTTTCCAAAAATTAGCTACCGATATGGCTTTGTCATTCGCATGTACAAGATCATCTAATGTGCAATACTGGTCTAGGCGTGGGCAGATCAGCAGATGGCCAGGATCCTGAACAGCACCACACGCCCACAAGATGTTTTCTTTGTCTGGTAAGAGACCACATTTCTGCATGTTTGTCTTGCATTTTGGTACTTCGACCCTTATTCTTTTAAGCCTGATGAATGGCCCTCAGCCCTGATTCATTGAGTTTAAAGGGTCTAAAAGTGAAATTACACTTTTTTATTATCATTGTATATGTTTCGCAACAGTGTTAACCTAATTCGTTGCAATGGGGGCAGTAACAAAAATCATAGAAATTAAGAAATATATTTATTAAATTAGATGAAAAATTGTTTCAACAGTTAGTTTAACTCTTCTGCTTCTCTTTCTTGGCTGCTTCAGCCTCAGCTTCTGCCTTCTCGTAAGCCGCAATCAGAGTCTCCACTTCATTTGCCGGCAGAATACGAGTGACTGTCTTTCCGTTCTGTCTGGTTAGAGTCGCCAACTCAACTGCAACAAAAAATTTGTCATCGAAGAATCATGATTTGTTATTATTTGCTTGAATTAAAAGAAGATTAAATCACAAGTTATTGCATCAATTAATTAATTATTGAGTTTATAACCCTCTCATTCTTCAAGGTTAGAGCTGAAAAATGAATGTTGGAAACGCATTTCCTTAACCCTCAAGCAGGCACTTCACAAGTAAAACAGGAGCGGGCGCATGCGAGTTTTATTCCGCAACACTAAATAGTAAATAGCACAAATTTTACCCATTTTACTTGTTGTTGTTGTAACGCAATATTGTATGTAAATGTTGAATAACCTAATCAGGAACCTAATTTCATTGTTTAACATTATTTGTTCAACTAAATATGAGTAATATTTCAAATAAACATATTGAGCAATTTTCTAGTATAAAGGTGCAATAGTGCAATTATACATAGGTATGCAAACAAAATATATATGATAATAATATTAAATTAAATAATACTTTTAATCATGTTTATTTTTGCGTATATATAAAATATACACACAGTTTGACAAATTTTACGTGTATAATAAACAATATAATAATAAACAAATAATAAAATATCAACCGTGAAGTTTGGTTAAGTGTACTAAACAATTAATACTTTACATAAGATATGTAATATAAATTAAAGTACATAAATCAAGTCTCAACCAAATGAGTAAAACACTAATCAAAATCTCGTTTTGGTTGTGAGTGAAAATTTAAAAACGTACGTTTTCATGTCCCTGGCCTTTTACTTCATAGATACTGGATTTGTAGTTTATTATTATGTGTTTTAATATTTTTTGGGACGGGGGCAACATGCTACACACATTTATTTGGTTTTAAATACGGTCTAGGTATTTTTTTTGTATTTTTAAAGTCTCGAAATTCACGACCATGACGTGTCCCTAGCGTACATTTACAAACTTTCACGCTGTTTTTAGACTAATTATTCATGCCGAAATATATAAAGCCATATTTTTATGTCATCAATGGTTATTAAACTTACAAAAAAGGAGCATATTATAATTTTATTGTCATTACAAACTGACTACCATGACAAAATAAGTCTGTCCCTCGATTTGGCGTCACGACCATTTGGGAAAAATTTTCAACTTTGGAGCACGACAGTGGCAAGCCTGGCGTGGATGGAGTCAGTAGTTGGTTTTAGAGACTAGTTCGGGGTGTACGTCAGGATTGTAGTGCCGGTCGTTTCGAGTTGAAAGGAGGAATTACAAGATTAATAAAGGAAAGATTGTGTTTTTTGTAATTTTGGTGTGTCCATGACCGTACGTAGTCATTCGATGAAGTAGACATGGTGTTAATTTTTGTTTATAAGATATTTCAATTGCTAGATTAACCTAGAAGTCCACTTTGCATCCTCGAACATGAGGTGCAGGGCTACCGCCAGAACAGAGCCAAATAACACGTAATTTCACGACCAAAGTTTCACGACCATCGCGGGTTTTTTCATGACCAATCCAGCCTTATGGATTATAGTGTGTTTGGTCGTGACAATAACTTTAATTTAATTGTAAATTGAACAGTTTAGTTCAATTGAAACACATATTTTTATTATAACTAACAGGATAATTGAAGGATTGTTTAGAAAGATTTAGATTATTCCAGACAATTCACGACCGTACCGCTTGTCCCTGACCATCACGTTTATGATTTCTATCATAAAAATTTCAAAAATTAAAATATCGTCATATTTCAATGTTTTATACACAAAAGAAGCACACCTCTATACAAACATAACGATTTTTCGGGTCTCAGGTAAGTTTTTTTCGGAGTTATACAAACTTAAAAAGATTTTATTGGCTTTTTTCAATTTTTTGAGTTTTTTTATTTTTTTCTAGAAAGACCAAATATACAAAAAGCTCAGTGACCTTTTTATTGTATAATGGTCATAAAAGTAAATAAGTTTATAGCAAAACATAGTTATAAAAATAATATTAACTATTTTAAATATTCATTTAAACGTCCGTTATGGTCGTGGCAGGATTTTGTGTTTTTCCACTAAAGATGCTCTTTTAAAAAGAAACTACCAAAGATATTGCGTTACCATGGACATTTTATGAAACTTCAAATGTTAATGAAATAAAAATGAAAATACAAGTTTTGAAAAAAGGGGAAAAGAATTTGCAAAGTGCTTTTCCTGAAAACGTACGTTTTTAAATTTTCACTCTTGTATTTCTTATATTCTTTCTTCCCTTTCTTCGACACTATCAAGCAATCCTCTTAATTTCTCCTTTTCTAAAAAATCTATAGTGGTATCAGTCTAATATAAAACAGAAAAACCAAATAGTCATATAAGTTACTTCACTAACAGGCAAAACTAAAACTGAACCTCTAACATAGAAGAGCGCATGAAGAAATAAACTCTTCGCTAAGCACTTACGTGATAGGGCGCACGCTGAGAAAACCTCCGCAAACTGACACCGCGTCACTGAATTGCAACTGACAACAAAATAATGAGGAATTTTGGGGTAAAAATAGATTAGGGGCATTCCCGCGATTAGGTGCGTGAAGTATGGAGTCGGACACGACTGCCAACACCCATTATGCATATTTATTTTAACAAAAACAAAAAGTGCGGAGGAAAACTCCACAAGCGCCCGCTCAAGGTTTAAGTAATTAATAATAATTTAATTAATTAATTAAAGTAATGGCAGGGTGTCCACAGAAATTTTTTCACAATTTCCCTAACTTTCCATGACTATCCATGACCATTAACCATTAATTTCCATGACTCATGAACTTAACTAAAAAAATTATAATATACCGTACACACGTGAATAATACTGCCTAGACAAGTTATTTCACAGAAAATATTGAAATATGTATTAACAGATAACAATGGAGTACAATAGGTACAACAATGAACTAATACAAACTCAAAACCCATAAACTAAGACAACTGTATAAATTGAAATTGTCGTACATTTGTGAAAATTTCAGAAAAATGCTACAATAGTCGTGGTTACGGCCGACCAGAGCATTGAAAGGTCCCCTGATATCCATCCAAAATTGGGGATTTCCATGACTTTCCATGACTTTTTGCCTATTTCCATGACTTTCAATGACCATAATTTTTTTCCATGACTATCCCTGACTTTCCAGAATGTGGACACCCTGAATGGTTAAAATAGGCTTAGTCTTAATGTATTTTTAAACTTGGTCTATAAAGCTTCAATAAGGATAGCTGAATTCAACAAAATCTTTTACCTTTCAGTCCATATTATTAGTAGATACCTACATTAATAAATCTACCAACCACGCACATTATTGATACTCAACAATATAATAAACATATGTGTACCACCTTCAAATCCTAGGATGTAAGATCTAGCCCGGATCCGTTTAAACAATTACTTCAGACTAGGTAAGAAGTATGTGCAACAATTAGTTCAAATCTATTGGTCATTGGTAGAATTTGAATCCAGGACGTCTGGGACCAAAGTCCCTTGCTCTATGACTAGACCAGCTCATTCCCCAATAATTGATTGAGCTACGGTTCAATTTATACCTTTGACTGTTTAAAATATGAAAGTGTGATATAAATAGCTTAATAAACAATTTTGGTTCAAGTTAAAACTAGGTACCCATCAAAAAGTAAACCCTGTATTTTATGCAATTGTGCCTGAGGATGTAAGTTGGGTTGTTTTAATTTTTACAATGCTAGCCTAGGTTCAAATCTCTCTAGGGACTTTTGTAAGTGGAAGCATAGGCCTACCTAAGCTGATTTAACGTACGCACCTTTGTCGGGAGTCAACTTGTTCATATCGAGAGTTTTGCTGAGCACCTTGATGGCCAATAGTTTCGCCTCGTCCAGGGAGGTCTCGCCTTCCTTATACTCTTGCTTCAAATTCGACACTGCGGCCTGAAAATAATTGAATGTAAGGAACGAATAACAATGGGTAGGCCTATTTATAGTGTCATTTTGGAGACCCCAACAAAGTGAGTAGGCTGCTGTTTTTGATTTAAAACATCTCAAGGCTAAAAAAATATCGTTAGGAAAAAAACACAACAGTGTGCTGATTGACGAATTCACACGGTTAGGTAACTTGTAAGAATTTGTTTTATTCCATACATTTAAACAAAAAATGCAATCAATTGTGGTTCAATGTGAAATTGCCGTTGGGTTTCAATCCCTGAAATACCACAGAAAAATTCCCAGATTCTAAGGTTACACAGCATGCGATGTATTTATTGAAGCCTATTTATTTTGTAAGTGCAAGTGCAACTGAATTTCATGAAACTTTAAACTGTAGGCCTATGTATGACAGCTATTTGTGCACATTTAATATTTGTTGGTATTAGGCCTAAACCTTTCTCAATTCTGAAGGCAAACACATCTAATTTATCAACATTTTAATGCTGAAACACAACTTAGAATTTCTACTTGCTTTTAAAGCCAAATTTGAAGGCAAAATTCAACATAGGCTAAGGTACGACAATAAACCTAACTAATCAAATATATCAAATCGGTAAGAAGTAAAATTTGTATTAACAATCTTGGTTTACAGACAAAAAAGCTGAGGGTGACAAAGATAAAATGCTGAACAAGTATACTGACCGCACTGTTCATGCCAATACAAGTTGCCTTCCATCCGCTGTAGTTGCCGCTAGGATCGGACTGGTAGAGTTGATATCCATAATGACTGTCCCAGCCCATGTACAGGATGGATACGCCAAAGGGCCTCTTGCCTACACAAAACAAGCTTCTAAAGATTTTGGTGTTTTGAATCTGTTTGATTTTAACATTAACTTGAATGTTATTTTAAAACCAAACTTCTTAATCCTTTGAGTCTCCTAACTGAATTTCCCTTCAGAAATGCAATGTAATAATAAATGTAGAAACCTTGATTACCAATGCATACAATCTTAAGTTACTTCTGAAGAAAACGTACATTTTCCATGCAAAAATTTGTAGCCAGTTTCAGCATAAAAATAATGTGCACCTATCAAGCCACAGATGATAGTTATTTTCCTTGAACACATAACTCTTAGTCATGTCTAACAAAAGTACGGTACAACTTATTCATATTCATGATGTAGAGGATATTTTTGCCATTCAAAGCCTAATCCATGAATGAAGTTGGCTATAGTTTGATTTTGTTTCAATTGTTCCACACAATCATGTCAGTAGGTCAACAATAAGGCCATATCTGTTTGTGGCTCAATGAAACAACCTACGTCCATTTTCATCCTAAGGATGGGACATTTTTCTCTATTATAGTCAAAGGCCGTACCTACCTTAAATGTATGTACTACAGCAGATTAAAAGTGATTTGTTTACTAAGCTATTGCTATCAAGCAGTTTGAGCTAAGGGAATAGTCTACGTGACGATCAGTGGATCTACCTTACCGCCAAACATTTCCTGGCACAAACTAACCTCCAAACTGAGTGTAAGCCTGTTTGACATCACACAGAGACGAGACCAGCTGTTCGCACGGGATGCTGCAGCCATACTGCAGTTGGTATCTCTGAGCAATCAGTCGTAACTCACTGGTCAACACGTTGGCATCAGATGTGATACCGGCCACGCTGCACAGCATGTCACTGTGGCAGTCATGAGCATTATTAGCATGTTGTAAACATTGTTGTGAATAGATGGCAATAATAAACGTTGATTATATTTTAAAAACACCAATGCTTCAGTCGTCAATTGGATACTTCATTTAAGCAAACGTTTAATTTATTCAGGTAAGAATAAATTTTAATAACCACAGCAAGTCCTAGGTTCAGGACCACAGTACCTACTTTTTTTAGGATACCCAGAAGCTAAAACCAACATTCCTTTGGATTGATTTAAAGATTTCAGAATAATAGTGATTTAATGGAGTTATATCCTAGAGCCAATTAGTTACCGGTATTAGGTCTAACTTTCACTAGATTTTGTTTTGTTATATAACTTAGCTCACGATCCTAAAAATTTGAACGATACGGCGCCTAGGCAATATGGATTTACAGATAAAAAGTTGAAATGAAAAATAATTCAGGTAACAGGAATTGTAAATATGTTCGTCTATAAACGTCCCTCTAAATGTACTTCGTACATCCCTCAACTGTTGATAAATTTCAGTAGGCTAGAGGTTAGCCAACTAGGCCAACCCACAAAAGTCTGTTCACAAGATGTGATTTGTACTTGACGGGGATGTAGATTTTCTTACAGTAACAGTAGCCTACACTGTTAAATTGTTTTTGTACATTGATATTGGCTATGACAATGATGAACTAATTGTAATAGGCCTAAGTTTGTAGAGGTTGGGGCTGACTAGAATAGTATGCTAACTTAGTGAGCTGTAACTCTTTGGGCCTTAGTTTACAACCAGCCCTTGTAGGTTATAAAATAATTGTCATTAGGTAGGCCCTACTTACTCATTAAGTTTATAGATTTTCTCTGAAAAGAATACTTCGTCAAGAAGCTTGTTTGTGTTTCTACGCTCAGCCGCCAGAAGAATCCCATCATTTGCAAGTATTCCGAGGCAGGTTCCTGCATGACTGATAGCCTCCATGGCATACTCCACTTGGTATAACCTTCCTGCATTAACAGAAATTAGTTTAACGTTTTTATCACTTAAGTTATTATTAGATTGACTTTGAAAAAAGTATTGCAATGTAACTTACACCTTACTTATCATTGTTCATGAAGGAAACAGCAAACAATAGATGCACAATTTAAAATCTTGCAGATCTTATCTAACCTAATCTTGATTTCAAAACTTGACTTAACCAAAACCAAAAATACCGGTAGGTCTACCTAAATTGTTTAATAGGCCAAACATCTCATAAGAAAAACAATAACTCTTCTGAAATAAAGATAGGCTACAATGTTAATTACTAACTTAAAAAATTAGGCCTACCCTTAGTCAAAGTCGCAGAGTGCTTATTTCGATTCCATAAGCATAAACTAAAACAGTAAGTAGGTATAGCATATAAGCATGTATTTAACTTAAGCTTGTTTTTAAGCAACTTGACAATGCCTATTCCGTTCTGTACATGGTCAATAGCAATTAAGTAGGTAGGGCCTATAGGCCTACTTATTCTTATATCCTGAAGACAAACATTTTAAAACAAAGTGTGATCAAACAGTTGCCTCAAGCATTTACAAAGTATCAAACCTTGCCTGCAATTAAGTGAGGCCATATAACTTAATCAAACGGAACTTAAGTTACTATCATTATACTGGCTGCTGCTCAACATACTTTTTAAGATATGTTATTAATGAATAAGGCAAAACTTACCTTCCGGTGAGAATATTGTTGTTCTAGTATCATACCGTCTAGCCTGAAAACAAAATGTAATATTCAGAGGTAGCCTAAGTTAAGTTAATCCTAGATAGGAATAGCCAATGGCCCTTGGAGCTTTTTGTCGAACCACATCCATGTATACAGCAAGGATTACTGTAGTATTCATTAGTTTTGCTTCAATAATGGTCGAAATATCACATGAATAAGGTGATTAAACTTCCAGGCCTGGCCAGCGATAGTGGCCTTTTCACTAGGGCTTTAGGAAGGGTCTTTTTTTTATAAAAGACCTTGGCTCCATATGTAATACAAATTATAAAGATGTGTAGTAGCCTAGCCTGTCTATGTATGTAGCATTTTTCCACATGATTTGAGTAGCCTAGGGCCTAACAATAAGTTAGTTAAGTTAATTAGGTAAAATAATTATTGAGCGGAGCGAGCGAAGCGAGCGAAGCTCTTATACTACACTCTTGCTTTTTCATTACAAATACTCCTCCTGAACGGCTGAAGCGATCTGCATGAAATTTAACACAGTCATAGTAACCAACCATGGGAAGGTATAAATCTGAAACGGTACAAATCGGACCATAGGACTTTTCCCTACATGAATGCAAACTTTTGGAAATTTAACATGGGCCTTATGGGTTAATTGGTCGCCATGTCATTATTTGCGAGTAAACACTAAAAAGTAAACAAGAGCCTCAACATTAGTCAACAAATCTACCACATGATAAATACAGTACAAAAGAAAAAATTGGATAATACTAAAGAGCATATTATAGTATATTGTATGTAATACGAAATGATTAACAATCAGTTCTATATTGAGTGATTAAACTCCATGCCGTTTATATTTAATTGTAAAATGGTTCTGTTCTTTTTAACAACAATGAATAGTTAACTAATTAGGCCTAAGTTTATGTTGCTTGGAGAAGGAGAAGATAAAACGAGGTCATTAAAAAAACACTACAACATAATTATACCAACAAAAATCACACCGCCCTTGATTTGCAAGAAACTTTGTAAAAAATGTTCTTGTAGCTAAAAATACAAAATCGTTTTACGAAATGAAATCACAACCACGTGGTTTACAGGTAAGGTTTAAGACTAAATGGTGTAACTTAGACAATAAAATAGTTGTATTGATAAATTTTATTGCACAATAGGGAAATTTTGAAAGTGGTTGACGACAATTTCTTACTTTTAACTGCTAAAATAAAACTAGACCTAAGTTATAGGCCTATACTAAGTGAGGCTAACCCCAATCCCTCACAACAATAATACTGGTAAACAGTTATTGAGGTAATTGAATTGGTGAGTTTTATGAATGTTCAATGCAAATAAGTCTTCTGTACAAATAAATGATTCTTTTTTTAATAATGAAGAAAGAAGACATTGAAAAATAAATAAAGAAAAGCAAATTCTACATACAATGGGTAATAATAATATAATAATAATCGTTATTGCCTTTTAATAATACAGGTATTGCTTAGGCCTACCATGATTCATTTGCAGTATCGAAATTATTGAGCGGAGTGAAGCGAAGCTCTTATACTACACTCAGTGCCTTTGTTTTACAAATACAGGTCAGGCTCCACCTGACAGGCTTAAGCGATCTGCAGGAAATTTGGCACAGTCATGTAACCAACCATATGGGAAGGTATAAATCTGAAATGGTAATATTCGGACCACAGGACTTAAACCAATAATAAGGGTTGCCGGAATTAGGCTGATGCACCATATTGCGTTTGGAATCTGTAAATAACTTACAGCATTTTATGTGAGCAAGACGTGCAATTAATGTAGACTTTGAATATCTATCTGATTGGAACATGTTCAATTCCTATTTGCAGTCTACAAATAGGAATTCCACTAATGTGAACCAAATATAACACAATTCGTTGACTTGAACCCGACGTATCATTGACTTTGAATACTGCACATAGACATCCCATATAAGTGAAGCAGAAGTAGGCCTAAGCCTATCATTGACTTCGTATACTGCAATTAGGCATTTTATTTATGTGAACAAAATAAATGGACCATTGATTTATTGAGGATACTGCAAGTAGACTATTCATTTACATGTACCATTGGGTTTGGATACTACAAGTAAACAATCCGTCTACGTGAACCATACGTACTATTGACTTTAGAATCTGTAAATAGGCATTCCATTTATGCGAACCAAATATATCATTGGCATTGGATACTGCAAGTAGACATTTAATTTATGAGAACCAGATGAAACATAGAATACGGTTCCTGCAAGTAGACGATTCATTCACTTAATCCTGACTTATGATTGACTTTGGATACCTCTGCAAATAGGCATTCTATTTAAAATGCAAAAAAATCATTGATATTGAATATGCTGGCTCCGCTCAATATTGCAAGCAGACAACTGCATTGTACACCTAGTAAGTTATTTATGAACCATTCTACTAAATGAACCATACCGATAGGTATTGGTTTTAATAACCCATAGGTAAGTCAAATTGATTCAAGTAACTTAAACCTTCGTAACAATAAATTATAAGTAACCATAGGATCAGGTTTAGCATAGCTTGTCTCATAAGATACAAACATAAATAAGCCTAGTATAAATTACTCACCATTATTTGTATGTAAAGGAAACGTATACACTAACAATAATAAACCAGCAAACAACCACTACAGTAACTCAGTAGAATGTTGTGTTAAAAAAGTTAATTTTAGAGCTAATTTAAGTAACAATTTGACAAAATGAATCGGCAAGTTTGGTTCGGAGAATTTCTAACATAACCTAATCAGTCACGACAAAATCATTAAGTGCATAGCATAACTATTTTCAAGGCAACTCACAGCACACAGAGTAGCCTACTAGTTTTTATCGATAAATAAAATGTAGCAGCATTGATTATAGAGTTATTCTTATTGGTCTTTTGTTAAAAAAACACCAATGGACCAATGGAATGATTAACTAGATTTTCATCTTAGTTATTTGAAATACTGGGTCAAATTGTAGCTGAGATTGCAATACCAAAATCGATCATGGATAGTGAAAAATGTCTTACTTCTCATATGAGCCCTGGCCGCCTTTAACTCCGGCGGCCGTGTATGAGCATATTCAAACATAACTCTTTTAGATTTTTTTTAGATTGTTGAACAATCTTTTAGATTGTTCCACTTTAGGGGTCAGCTATGGACAATGGTAAAGTTCTTCATTGGCTTTAAGCAACCTCTCTGCCATGAATACATGTTTCCCATGCCTTTATGATGGAACCATGGATCTCTCTGACATGACATTATTTTATGTACCAAACATCATTCATGAAGGTGAATACGAATGTGTATTCCCATGTCTATCCACAGTAAATAGGCCCGGTTTTAATTTTGCACTAGTGTGCTTTTGCTTAAGTAACACTACACGCTCATCATGCCTGAATTTCAATCTGTCAACTCATTACTAAAGAAGATATCATAACAAGTATTTTATTTACCTGCCTCGTTTGAAGTTGAGGTCCAGTCCTGAAAAGCTTGTGAGTGGATTGCACCACAGACAATAGACCATTATTTCTTTTGGTATTTCTTTTGTCTATGATTGCACTCAAGAGCATTGGCTCCCATAAGATCCATTTCGTAAGAATATACCTCTGGACAGGCGGTTAGCTCTGAGGATCGAAGTATAGGCAAAGTTTGAATTTTCTTTTTCTTGCAAAAGTTGGTACTACATTTGATCAAGTTTAGTTACTAGCCTATCCTAGATTATTGATTAAAATTCAAATAACACTGCTGCCTAACACTTCCTATGAGGTGGTTTGGTCCAAAAAAGCTCCAATTTAAATCTCTGCTAAGAGTCTAAAAACCTAAGCATAAAAACATAAGGTGCATGAAGCAAAATGGCATAGCTTCAAATGCATAAAATCAAAATAAAGCTTTAGTATTTATGGCTGTATTAATAATCAGTTCAGACAGAATATCCATGATTAGATTTTATAATAAATTACACCTTAAGTAATTGCCATTGATAGGTATTTTTATTCAACTACTATTGTCACACACTTCATATTATTATGGGTTTATCAGATAAATCAAAAAGATTGAAGAGTTCAGGAACATTGAGCCATTTGGAAAACCCGGTGGATTGTGTGGGTAATTAATTAATTTTACTCACACAATTTGTTGGGGTGTTTCCAAAAATTAATTAAATAAAATCAATTACTGTAATGTATTTCTAAAATTCTGACAGTGACATTAAAATTGAACCTACTCCTTTTATAAAGGAAAACAATTATAATGAGCCTAACCCACATAGCACAGAATATCTTCAGGATATCCCACAGAGTTCCCAAAACGTCCCAATATCCCATGAGATATAGGAATATCCCTGGAACAAGTGGAACATTCCTGGGATATTCCAATGTCCCTTGGATATAGGAATATCCCTGGGACATTCCTGGCATATTCCCGTTACAATAATTACATTTTTTTGGGGTTTTTGATCGAGGAACAGGAATATCTTTGGCATATCCCTAGAATATCCACGATATCCTTTTTTTATCATTTATATGTAAAATCCACTAATAACTCAAGTACTTCTCGAAATATGGCGAATACAGCTTTCCCACACATCACAGGATTCTGATCAGTTCCCACATATCCCTCATAGATCCCAGGATTTGAGAATGTCCCTTAGGATCACTCTAGATATTGCACATATCCAACACAAACGAATGCATTTTGAGGATATCCTGGGGACTTCCAGGTTTCATGGTAAGACCTAGAACAGAACCAAATTTACTTTTTAGCGAATTTCCTATAGGGAAGTAGCTTTTACCGTACCTAGGCCTGGGACCGATTTACTTTTTCATTTTGATGTCACCAGAAGCCAAAAACACCATTCGTTCAAATTTATATATATATATATTTAAATATATATATTTACGTATATGAATTGAACGGTTGGTGTTTTTGGTCTCTAGGGACCTCAAAACAAAAAAGTAAATTGGTCCCGAGTCCAGGTCTTACCATGTGTACTACGGTAATATAGCTTATTCCCTATATGGGAAATTGGATAAAATAATCCAATTTAATGAAATTTGGTACAAACACGAAAACCTACGTGTATTCATTTGAAAGAGTTTGAGAACCAACATGATCGGACAATGGGAACAGGGTTTTAATGGGGTGAAAATTGGGTTTTCTCAATATACAACGAATAAGGTATTTTTATTGAAACATACTTACAAAGCTCTAACAAATATATTTTATAGGGCTATTCTAAAATAATAATCTGTACAATCTTTGGCACAATATTAAAATATGGAATATATTCTCTGGTAATAATAATAATAAATATACTACAAATAACTATAGAATTATTACTAGTACAAAAGATAGTGACAGGTAAAAAAAAGCTTCTTCCCAAAGGTTAAGAATAAAGTTAATGATTCAATTACATAGGGGGTAAATGACAAAAATTATAGAACACTAAAAAGTGTGTGGACTTATAATTTTTTATGGCAGATACAATAAGATAAAGCTTTGAGTTTAACGTCTCAGAGTAGCCCTTGAATAAGTCAAGAAGTACGATGTTTTCCAGATTTTCCCATTTTTTTACAGCTGCTAATACCTAACATAAATACCCCTGGCTTTTCTTTAGGAAGGGTAACTTTATAAAATCCAAGATATTATTTACAAATTAATATTTTTAAGACCTATTGCAACATTCAACATCTCTCGAGTGCAGGTATTTGCACCAAATGTATAGTAAGATATTTCACTGAACAATTAATGTCTCATTTTTTAATAAAACTAAAAACAGTTTGGATTTTTGTCCATGCTATTAAAATACACTTCAAAGTACACACTGAGGACTTTGCTTCATCAAGTTTAAACAAGTAAATACATGTCATCAAAATGTCATTATGTCATATTTATGTGAAGTAGGATAGCATAATTCAATCAGCAAGCATTGTCCTTTTAGAGATACAATTTTCTAAAGAGTAGAATAATTTTACAAGAACCACCTTTTCTTTTCTTTTGAAACGTCATGTTCTATGCTCTAAACATTTTAACTATTTTAGATCTGTAGTTTACTAAATATTTTGCATTGTAACAAGCTAATATTACCACCTCAACATAAAATTGACTATAAACATTTATGGAATACAACTCATTGCTATGCTGTATCTTTAACTTGAGGTTCTTTAATGGTTTTATTCTGCTCAGGAGGCCATAAATTATCTCTTCCCCATTCATATATGGACTTTGCTTAATCCCGACATTAATATATACAACAATTTAGAAACATTTGATACATTCAAGCTATAATAGGTATTCTAGAGCTATTGCACATCTACAGCACTTGCAATACTTATTTTGAAGACATTTTCAAGCATTTTATGTAAAAGACAATTTGTTTTAAGATATCCAGGTGCTGTTAAATATGTTAAAATGCGCACCTAGGTGGCGTCCGCATCTCAATTGATAATGATAATGATAATAGGACTGTTGAAAGATTATTTTCTTAATATTAAGGAATTATTAAGATGAATTCATATCATTCTGAATTTCATAAACCCATCAAACTTTGAAATGCAAACCCAATTAGGCTGGTTTAATGATGGGTTTATTATGTTTGAATTTCATCCTAAATTCATCCCTTTCATATAAATGAGACCAGTACAAATGAACCATAAATGTCTACGTTGCTATTTATAGTCAGTTGAAGTTAATTTGAGTTTGAATTATAATAATATATTTTATTAATACTGTATGGTCACTTAACTTATAAAGAATGCAAAATGGTTAGTTAGGGCTATAGAGAAAAAAATAATGTAAGGGCTAAGTCACTTCTCTTAAAAAGTTTCATTGGTCAATCATTTCAATGGTTGCAACTCCAGTTTTAACACAAAATTTTTTTTGGACAATGATATTATGATAATGATATATACGTTTTGTGAATACTGTATATTGATTTTGTTTGTCTCTTGTAAACTGTTTAAGCACGAAAGCATGTACGTTTTGCCTTTTGACTCTACGATACTTTAAATTACCAAAAGTACTAATTCACATATAGTTTACCTACAAAAATATCGCAACAAAAATGTAATCAAAGCTGTGTAAATTATGGTTGATATAATCCAGCTGATTGCTGGTTGTGAATTAATTGGAAAAATCAAATAATTTAAAGCAACCACAAAGGTGAGCACCTATTAAAGAATTGCCCAAATGGAAAATTAGCTTCGTACACAACCAAAACTAATTGGGGAAACATATTTTTATTCTATTATCAAAATAAGATATGAGTGCTGTAGCCCTTACTTTAGTTATTCTCTGTGACAATATGTGTGGTAATAAACCATAGGGCTCAACCCACCAAAAAAATAAAATATATATATATTCCGTTGACTTCAACAAGTATGGTGAATTTGACTTCCCTGTAATAAACATTGAAGGGAAGAATGTTAATCTTGTAAGACTACAGAAACTTTATTAAATTAATTTTATGGTTATAGTCTTTGATTTACCATTTCTAGCTGTTATAATAATTGTTTGTGATTATTCCTGGCCGGATAATGCTTATAATCTGACACTCTCAAACATATGATGCAAATGTAAACCAAATTTTATGAAAGATTTGTTTAAGAGATTACCAGAAAAATAAAACTTTTATAAACATTACTCGGAATGAAGGATATGAACTTTCAAAAACCATAGTGTAGCATTATTGTATTAAAAAATCAGGCTTAAACAAGTAGTTGTTATAACTTTTTTTATTGTTTGTTCAAACTTTGACTAAACA